AAAGGACTGTTAATTATACTTTTCATGCTTTTGATTTGAGTTCTGTGTTTTCAAATGGAAAAAAACAGATTTGTATACTCAGGATATCTGGAGAGAGAAATGGAGAACATCAGTGCTCATGGGCCTAAGAAGTATACCTGTCAGAAAAAAACGCAAAGTGCAACATGCACTTGATTTTGTCTCAATAAATTTACTCTTTCGTGGGAAACACAAGTGCCTCGGAAGACAACTTTTGTGACCTTTTCTGTTCTTGGAATTGTCTATCAAACTCTAAAGGCTTTATCACTTTGACAGCAGGAGCCTTCCCGGCAGAAAGGAGAGGAAAGTGTGAGAGTGGAGGGAGGTCAGCCTCTCAGTTCTGTGTTTTCATTTTGTTGATCCTCAGTTGTTGAATGACCTCTTTGTGACCTTCACACAAATTGAAATTTGGCCGTACTAGAATACTTTTTTTCAGTTCGTCCACAAAGGCAAATCTAGAGTCACTGTGTCTCTTCAGATATGTGGCTTATTCCCTCAGTCGCCTCTGGCCTGTAGGACCGGAGGTTGCGGCTGAGAACCAGCAGAGTGCTAATCCGTCTGGTTTGTCACTCGCCACCAAAAACCGCCGGGGTCGTCTCCATCTTTACAGCCTCTCAGCGGAGGCACAGCAGTGTTTGAAGGCCCCCCTGCTCTTCTCTCTCATCTGGCTCCAACAGTGTTGGTTCGGCGTCTGCGGCAGCTCGAGAAGGAGAGCAGTGTTCATGTGTGTAGTTGCTTATTGTTCTTGCGTTGGAGTTTTGAAGGAAGATCTCTGTGCTAGGGTCAGACTTCAAACTTGTCTCATCCTCCTGTGTCGGAGAAGAGGTTGAGACGGTGAGACAGCATCTGCTTTATTTGCCATAAAATGGAAAGGAAACAACAGAGGAGAAAGATGCCTGTACAGGGAATCCTAATCTTTAGTTGATATGTTGATCTGATTTACACACTTCTGTGTTCTTTGCCAAACTGCGTATGAAAGCAAAGTGAAGAATTTCCTGCTGTCATTGAGCGAGAATCTGCTGCAGCAGGATGTATATCATCACGCCAGTGCTCTTCTGCTCATCGCTGCTCCACACAAAAAGGACCTGAACGCCCTCCCTGGGCGTCCACACGGTACCGTGGCTGGGATTCAAGGATTTAAAGGTTTCCTGGAGCTGTGAGGTGTAACAGTTCAGTGTCACCTTGGCTGTAGCTGCTCCCGGTCCACAGGTAATGTATTAAGATGGCCTAAACTACAGACATGGGTACGTATTAAAATGTTTAAGACCGTTACAAGCATACTATCCTATTTAACATCCTATTTAAAAGCTGGATAGAGGGTGAAAAGACAAAAACACACTAAAATGTATTCCCCCTGAAGTAAATCCCAAAGTAAGAACCACAATGCAGTTTTTGTTGCGACAGTTAAACAGCACATATCCCGTCAGTAACTTTCAGTCAGTGCCGGTAAGAGTCTACTGTACCTTTTTCGTTGGTTCAACTTCCTCCTTTGGTATATTTTGTCATGGTGTTGGCGACACTTCTCTCTCTCAGATTACAAATAATTTCCCAGTGTTGGTCCCAAATGCACCAGCAATTCATAAATCTCAACAACATAAGTGAGTCTCAGTGAGGGAAGAAGTACTCAGATCCTTTACTTCAGTAAAAGGAACAATACCACAATGTGGAAATACTCAAAATTATTACTTAAAGTGTGAAAGTACTATCAGCAAAAATCTGCTTTGTTTTAAAGAATACTAGAAATCAGAACCATTTCAGAGTTTTACATAAAATATAAAATCTGGTAACTGTATTACTGTTGCATTTACACATAGCTTTTCACACTTCATACTGTATAGTGTTTAATGACAGTACACTATTTTATTAGATGATCATATGTTTTGTATCATCTGAATCTGCAAAGTAACAAACAACTTAAGCTGTTAGATACATGTAGAGTAAAAACTACAATATTTCCCACCCAAAACAAATTTAGTGAATTATAAAGAAGCATAAAATCAGGATAACATTTTAACTAATTAAATGTACCTGGTCACCTTCCACCGCTGGCTTCAGCTGAAATATCAGTAAGTAGCAACATAAGGAAACAAACAGTGACACTTAAAACTACAAAATAATGTAATGTTAAGTTTCAAAAGCTCTGACATCATATGCCAAACATGAGACGACTGCATTAGTAAACAGGAACAAATAGAAGAGAGTTACTGGAATATTTGAGATTGAAAATGAATTGAATTAGTGTTTAATGTCATCATTAGCACTGAGGGGAGGGAGGAGGCAGGATTAAGAAACAATATCAAAGCTTTATGGGCACAAAAGGTTGAGATGACTGATAATCACTCATCAGTAGGAGCACATGAGAACAACCTGTGTCATCACTGGTTATGATCAGTGTTAAACAGGAAGTGGAATGACCTCCTCTGGGATAATGAAAGAGGTATAATTTATCAAACAGTGCTGCCAGCAGTGAAAGAAATGTAAACTTTGTCCTACAATTTTCATATAAACAGTTCCAGAGTGTAATGAGTTTGATTAGAGGTGTTAGGATAAATAGGAAGTATGTTTACTGTATATGAGGAGGTGCTGAGTACTTGAACTCCACTATTGTGTTGTTATACACTAAATGTGTGCATTAGCTAAGCCTTAATCTGGACACTGGAGAACTCGAAATCAGGGCAATAAAATTAGTTAATCAATTATAAACTGAGGTTACATTTGAGTTAATAACTGATTTTACCTTTCAGTCGTAACAAATTCAAGGACTCTGTTGTTGTTTCCTGTGTTTTATAAAATAATTCTGCATATGAATCTGAAAGAAAACTGTCAATGAACCAGAGTTTAAAACAAGATATTTGCTGATTGCAGAACCTGTAAACAATACAATATGTCTTGACTGTGTGTGTATCATCAGTGTGATAAGGACTCAACATTTGGTGCACTTTAAAGAATCTGAGCACTGATCCAACAGCAGATGTAGTGCAGTCGCCCTAAATGTGGGGCTAACCTGGAGATTATTATGTAATAGTAAAAACAGTATGGTGGGATTGTTCCTCGCTTTTATACTTTTGTAAAACGTTTTAGGAACAGTCCATTTCCTGCACTAAATAGTGCCTGAATACTTTTTGAACATGAACTCGTGATGATTTAAAATGTTGAGTATTTCAGGTTTTCACATCAGTATGGAGACGAGAACGGATCAAAAACTCTTCTGTCTGTCCTCTTTGAAAAGACATTAACCTGCTGCAGTGCGACTGAACGTCTCTTACAGAGCTTCAGTGAACTCTAGTGAAGTTACAAGTGCGCACATTGAAAGGTTTTCCAGGAATTCATCAGCGAAGAGAAACTATGCCTTGGTGAGTACAGTTTAACTTGCACTTCTTATATGTATACCTTACATTTATATTAAAAATGTAAACTGCATTTGATTTGTGCTTGAATAAAGGCAGCCGTTCATTAAGAGACATTCTGACCTTGTGTCATTTTTTCATGACATCCGTCCTGTTTCTGTGAAAGTGTGTGTGTGTATGAGTATTTATGGATTTTGAAATGACAGGATGTCTGTTCGACTGTCAGTCCTGTAGAGGGCAGAGTTGGATGGAGCGATATTAAACTACCAGAGAACATCAACAGAAGACGTGCATAGAGGTAGAAATGATACAGTGTCAGTGTTCTTACATGTAACGTGATAAGCTTATCAAGTTGATTTATGGTTGACAGGTGAGGAATTTATAATGATACATTAAACTGATTTCACACTAATGTCAACAGCATTAATGACATTAATACAGGCATTTACTCTTTATCTTTTAAACACAATTACATCATTTACATCCTTTGAAACACCCCTCAATGTGAAAAGAGAAGCCATTTATTCTGATTTTATATTTGCTTTCCTCACTGTTTGTTCAAAAAAGTGAATTTAGTCAAAGTCACCAACACAGACATCGAGGGACCTTTTAAAGTTGCTGTAGGCAATAATACTTTACATTTATTTGCTGTCAGTACACACAGTAGATGAGAAAAGTCAACAGAAACTCATTGAGTCTGGGAAAGGTCAACCCTCACCTGGCTTTCACCACTTATAAAACATACAAACTTGTGACTATGAGAGAGGGTGCTGAAAGGAAACTGCAGACTTGTTTTAGTTTACCAAATAAAATAAAGGATCCCTTTTCAACTCGTAATTGTCTGCTAAAGGCAACTTCAAAGCCTCACGTAGTGAGAGTCCTTATTTAATTTGAACCATATACTCCCCACCTCCTGAAACTAAAACACAGACCTGGACTTCACCAGACTCTCAAATTGTCTTTTAACACCAACTACTAAATCTAATGCTTTAATGGTGCTGTAGAAGGTTTGTTGGGGTAAAACATGCCTATGTTGTGATATTTTAATCTATAAATCTACACTGACAGTCTGTACGGAAATGTATCTACATTTTATAGGGACAAAAATAGCATATATTTTTCAATATACTACATACTATTATCTCACTATATAATACATACTTCTTAAATAGTATTTTGGTAATTGTCCTTTATCTAAAATGCTTACGTAGTTTAAAGGCTTAAGACATTCAGCTCATTTGGATAAATTATTAACAGAAACTGTCAAAAGGTGAAACACATTATTTAGCAATTTATATTCAATTATATCAACTATTAACACGACTATTTATTTTATGTGTTGACATTTGATGCTGATTTCTGGCCTAAGTTTACTTTGAATAGGGAACCGATTAAACTTACCTTATATTCTTAACGCTAAATGTATTGACATTAGATTACAGGACATTAGGAAAAGCATACTGGGTTCCCATTGTTTCCTTTATCTGAATTCTCACATTCGATACTAAAGTGGTTTCTTATCAGTTCAGCTATAAGTGTAACAGTAAAAAGGAGGAGTTTAGACTAGTTTTTACCTCTCTCTCTCTATATAAAGACTCTTGTGTGTGAGATCTTTATTGGGTCACGCTGAAAATAATGAAGTCTGTCTTGGTGTTGCTGGCCTTTTTGGCCGTCTCACAGGGTCTTCTCAGGTAAGATAAACAGCAAACTTCCAGTTATTAATGATAAAATTGAAAAAAATGCTATTTAACCTTTGCAGAGTGTGGTTGCTGAAGGTTAAAACAAATTTAAGACTTAGATCTAGTACAGAAACCCAGGATAATGATGCTGGATAAAACGTATTTAAAATACCATTTTACATTTATTTACAATGTTTTTAAAATAATGAAATCCTGGTAAGGTTTGCCAGCAGTTTAAGACAACTTAGAGGTAAGATTACTCTCCAAAAACATCCATCTCCAAAAATGATTTAACATCTTGTTCAGATTGCTTGAAATTTCCTATAACTGAGTTGCCGTCATCTTGATCTCAATTTTATTTTCACGTGTTTGAAATAAAGAGAAAGAAAGTAGACTTTAGGGCCCAATAATAGCTATAGACATTCTTAAGATGGAGATGGAGAGATTTTCTTTATGAGAGAAAGAAAACAAGATTTACACCAAAAAAAAGAAGGTTGCCAGCTCGATCCCAAGCTACCACTGCCCATCAGCAATACAATGAATGAACTGTAGCTGTATATAAATGCAGCCATTTATGACCGCACACATCTCTCTGAGACAATTCCTTGACCATTTTTAGGCCAGAACACTATAGTTTATATTTCCCCTAAATCATTCCCAGGCCCAAAACTCCTTTTTAGGAAAAGTTATGAGCTCTGAGTTGTTTGTGAGTATGCTTCCAGATCAGCTGAAATAATGAATGTGCTGCAGGATTCCCCTGATGAGAGGGAAGTCAGCCAGACAGCTGCTGGAGGAGAGAGGCCAGTTTGAGGAGTACAGGAGGAAGTTTCCATACGACCCTGCAGCGAGGTTTCTCCCCAGGAACGAGCAGAGCACGGTGCCCATGACCTACGACCCAGATGTAAGTAGCATGTAACCACTGTACACTCTGCCCCGTGCAATCATTTAAATACAATAACTAACTAAATAATCTTATTCTGTGCACAGTTAACATACTACGGACTGATTGCCTTTGGGAGTCCATCCCAGTTCTTTAAAGTTCTCTTTGACACCGGTTCCTCTGACCTCTGGGTTCCCTCCATAAGTTGCACCAGCTCTTCATGTGGTAAGTACAATGATAAATGGACAGAATCATTTTAATATAGTGACGATGAAACAGACCACCAATTGATTGTTTCTAACTTTTTTCTAGCTGGTTCCAACTTTGTCATATGATTATATATCAATCACTATATTCCTGGATTGAGAGTATGTGCATATGTTTAAGTCTTTGTAACAAAGGATGTTTTTGAATTGTGTAAGTAAAAAGGTGATGAAGTGTACTCTCTGTAACTCTCCTCGCTCTCTGTCTGTCACTAGACAATCACGCAAAGTTCAACAGCTCAGCGTCCTCCACTTTTGAGGCCGGCACAAAGCCTTTCTACATCTCATACAACAGTGGGTTTGCAGCAGGAAGCACCGGGTATGATACTGTAAAGGTGAGGATGAAACATTAATACTGTATTAT